CGCGTACGAAATAACCGAAGCCCAAACCCATGAAACATTGGCAACCACACAGATACACATTATCTGTTCACCAGCTAGATCCTGTCCATCCTACATCAAAGATGCTGAAAAAATTTCTATGAGTCAAAATGACTCCTTTGCTTGTGCCTGTTGTACCTGAAGAATACAAACAGAGCAATATCCGCCTGCTTAATTGAAACATCCGGAAATTCTATACATTCCATCTATTCAACCAATCATGAAAGTAACAATCTTTGAATTTGAAGATACTTATCTTTTGAACCCAAAATCACACTGGCAAGTTAAAATCTTAACTTTGTCCCATAACTCAGGGACTGTGACAAGAAGCTTTGGTTTTGAATCTTTAATTTGCTTTGAAGTTCACCCAGTGTAAATAGGATTGACAGTAGTTGCATGCCCCTATAGCAATAACACCAAGAAAACAAGAGGATATGTATAGAATTAGAGCAAAAATCAAAACGACATCGCTTTTCTTGATACCCAAGGGAAAGCCGGAGAGACCTTGTCAAGGTGGACTTGAACTGGGAGAAAGTTAAAGATTGAGCAGAATCAGCATCAATAGGGCTAGTTTGGATTCATAAAACGAAGAATTCCTGAAAAGGAAATTAACCATAGAAAGATTAGGATCTTTGGGAAGGACCAAAGGTGGTCTCAAAGACCTGTATATACCATCACGGCCATAACCAGATTTCTCCATTCAAGCGAAATGAAAATAAAAATGAGAATTTGTTTGATTTTAGTGAACCGAGACGAGTTTTTTTGAGAGGAGATAGAAATGAAGATAAATTCAAGATAAGGTTTATGATTTTTGTCTTATTGTTGTGTTAATGGAGATTGGAGAGTCGTGTAGGAATCGTTAAGCCTTGAAGGAGAAAAATGAAAGTAATATGATAATTTTTCTTGTCCATCTTCCTTCATTCTTGAAGCCTTGATTGTTCCAGCAAAATATCAAAAGTTTTATATAGACTTCCGTGAGTATATTCTACGTTGGATCGATTAGCAAGAATAATATAAACAGTATTGATAAACAGTAGTTGATAAACAGTATTTATGTCCGAAGTCAGAGATATTCGAAGGAACCTCTAAACGTTGGTATGAACTAAATCCTTGTATGGATTTGTTTTTAATACAGTTTTATTTTACGTTTCAGTTTATGCACGACAATGTTATAATCTATACTCGGATCTCGGTTCATGTAATTGATCGATTCCTTTTAAATATTACGTGTTTCCACTGCACGAATCCGGTTAGTTACTCACAATATGATCATGTCTGACTAGATACCACGTCATTCAGTACAAAAATTCGGTGCAAAAAAATCGATGTCTGTCCCATTATTGTATCTATATCTAGTAAGAATAATAATAACAGTAAACGAACATGTTCCCACCCAAAGATTAGCAAAATTTCAAGTTTTCACCCCTAGTTTCATTTATTCTATATTTTCACCGTTAAATTAATAAAAAATCATTTAATCTGACGTTTAAAGGGTAAATAGTAATTTGAACTACAATAAATCTTAAGTAAAAATAAAAATTTCAAATAACCCTTTACATCTCAAATTTCTTTCACAAGCACCCTCATCACTCCCCTCCCTCACGACAGTTGCAAAAAATTAGATCTGGCTGGATTCCGTTGCTGGTGGACATCACTGCCACCGCCACTAGTTTCCCCACTCATCCCCAACCAAATCCATCCATCCCCCAGCCTTGTCCGCCTCCATTTTGGTAAAATCTGAGCCTTTTCTCTGCGATTTTCCCCTCCTTTGCAGCTGCCGAAAAAATCCAGATCTAGCAGGACTCTAGCGCCGCTTGATAGCACTGCCACCACCACTAGCTTCCCCCACTCATCCTCGACAAAACCCATCCATCTCCTAGCCTCGTCCGCCTCCATTTTGGCCGGATCTGACCCTTTTATCAGCGATTTTTCCCTCCCTCTTGGTTGCCAAAAAATTCAGATCTAGCTGGCTTCCATCACCGTCAGCACCACTACCTTCCCCCACTCATCCTCGACAGAGCCCATCCATCTCTTAGCCTTGTTCGCCTCCATTTTGATCAGATTTGGGCCTTTTCTCTCTATTTTCCCTTCCCTTGCAGCTGTTGAAAAAATCCAAATCTATTTGGGGTTAAAAAGTAAATTACTAACTTATTTGTAGGGATGGTTGGTAAGTACACTCTCCATATTGTGTTAGAATCCAAAAATCATTCACGTGTTAATTTAAAAGTGAGAATATAACAGAGGAAATCACAGCATGAGGAAAATTCTTAGCACATTCTTCCATCAATTCCTTTCCCAAAGGAGCAGCACCAGAACCAATAAGCTTCAACGACGAAAGTTCAAACTTCTTGACCAGACTCTGCTTGGCAAGTGCAAGCACAATCGGAGGCACAATCCACATATTAGTCACTCTGTACTTCTCAACAGTCCTTAAAAGCATCTCAAAATCAAACTTCCTCATTGACACCAGAGTGTTGCCTTTCTTTAACTGTGTGTACAAAACAACTGCAAGCCCAAATACATGAAACATGGGCACACACAGAGATACACATCATCTTTTTCACCAGCGAGATCCTGGTCCATATTTATCGTCAAGGACGCCGCAATAAAATTTCTATGCGTCAAAATGACACCTTTGCTTGTACCCGTTGTACCTGAAGAGTACAACAAAGCAGCAATATCCGTCTGCTTAATGGAAACATCTGGAAATTCTGATACATTCCCAGATAACTCAATCAAATCCTGAAAAGTAACAATCTTTGAATTCGAAGATAAATTTTCTTTTGAACCCAGAATTACAGCCGGCAAATTAAAACCTTTGACTTTGTCCCATAATTCAGGTACTGTAATAACAAGCTTTGGATTGGAATCTTTGACTTGCTTTGACAGTTCATTGACAGTGTAAACAGGATTGACAGTGGTTGCGATAGCACCTAAAGCAATAACACCAAGAAAACAAATGGGAAATTGTATTGAATTGGGAGAGTAAATCAAGACGATATCGTTTTTACCGATACCGAGATGGCAAAAGCCATGAGAGACCTTGATCAAGGTGGATTTGAACTGGGAAAAGGTCAAAGATTCACCAGAATCAGCTTCAATAAGGGCTAGTTTGGACTGATAGGAAGAAGAGTTTTGAAAGAGGAAATAAACCATAGAAAGATTAGGATCTTTGGGGAGGACCAAACGTGGTCTTAAAGACCTGTATATACCATCACGTCCATAACCATAACCCTGAAACCATAGAGAGTTTCCTAATCAGTGATAACTATTCCACGCCAAGCCCCCCTTTAGGACTTGAATAGAATGAACTGAAACCTCTTCAATTTTTTGTTTGACGCAGCAGACAGAAACGTCAAACCAATCACACACCTGAATACTGAACTAATCTTTACACTAATTAAAGTAATACAAACCTAAACCATTCATTCAATATACTGTAGAAATTATTAATAACATTTCTCTTATAAACATTCTGTCAATGGTTAGTACACAATTCACAATACTAATGTCATCAAAGTACCTGAAACTAAAGCCTGAGGAAAATTTCGCACATTCCTCCATCAATTCCTTTCCTAAAGGAGCAGCTCCAAACCAATTTGCTTCAAAGACGAAAGGTCAAATTTCTTGACCATACTCTGCTTTGCCAAAGCAAGCACAATGGAGGCACAATCCACATATGAGTCACTCTATACTTCTCAATAGTCCTCAAAAGCATCACAAAATCAAACTTCCCATTGACACTAGAGTATTGCCCCTCGCAACTGCGCGTACGAAAAAACCGAAAGCCCAAACACATGAAACATTGGCAACACACAGAGAAACATTATCTGTTCTCACCAGCTAGATCCTGATCCATATATCATCAAAGATGCTGAATAAAATTTCTATGAGTCAAAATGACTCCTTTGCTTGTGCCGTTGTACCTGAAGAATACAAACAAGAGCAATATCGCCTGCTTAATTGAAACATCCGGAAATTCTATACATTCCCAGATAATTCAACCAATTCATGAAAAGTAACAATCTTTGAATTTGAAGATACTTATCTTTTGAACCCAAAATCAAGCTGGCAAGTTAAAATCTTTAACTTTGTCCCATAACTCAGGGACTGTGACAAGAAGCTTTGGTTTGAATCTTTAATTTGCTTTGAGAGTTCAGCCACACGTGTAAATAGGATTGACAGTAGTTGCATGCCCCTATAGCAAAACACCAAGAAAACAAAGAGGATATTGTATAGAATTAGGAGCAAAAATCAAAACGACATCGCTTTTCTTGATACCCAAATGGCGAAAGCCGTGAGAGACCTTGATCAAGGTGGACTTGACAATGGGAGAAAGTTAAAGATGAGCAGAATCAGCATCAATAGGGCTAGTTTGGATTCATAAGACGAAGAATTCCTGAAAGGAAATTAACCATAGAAAGATTAGGATCTTTGGGAAGGACCAAAGGTGGTCTCAAAGGCCTGTATATACCATCACGGCCATAACCAGATTTCTCCATTCAAGCGAAAATGAAAATAAAAAATGAGAATTTGGTTGAATTTAGTGAACGAGACGAGTTTTTTGAGGAGGAGATAGAAAGAGAGATAAATTCAGATAAGGTTATGATTTTTGTCTGATTTTCCTCAGAAGGAAAAGGTTTTGTTTGATTTAAGCCAACTTGTTACATTTTTCATTGAAGACATCATCAATGAACTTCTGGTTCCTTGACCCCAGAAAGTTTAGATTACCAAGCATTCAATATTCCGAATACCAGAAGTAGGAACTGCCAACTGCGAAATCTTGTTTTATTGTTTGAGGGTTTTCTTTTGTACAATATTCTAGAAATGAAAATATATTATCATTCAACAAATCAACTTCCTCGACAACAAATTGGCAATTCATGCCACGCCATTTTCATAATGCAGCTTGCACTTGCAGAGTCTTCTTCTACCTTTATGACGATTCTTGAAATCAAAAACCGTGTGGGACACGGTGTTCTTTTCAAGGTATAATAAACAAAGTGTAATGTTCTTATCAGTCATGACTTACTAACACACTCATAATTCATATTTTGGATCGTACTTTCTCTATTAGCTCTCTTCTCAAGATTTTCCCCGACGCTGACTTTGGAACAGTGTTTATAAATGTCACCCTTCGTAGTCTTTTAAAAGGTGCAATCTGAAACAAAGGAGAAAAAGATAATAAGATCAAGTGTCTGGTTATAGAATAAAAACAACATTTTACAACCGGGTATACATACTCGTACACAGTGTAACAAGCAATAATTTGGGGAAGCATAGCTAACAATAAAACAGAACAAATATAATTGACTCAACATATATGGCAAAATGCCGCAGCTGTTTGTCTTCGCTGAAAACAATCTGAGTGATAAAGAACAGAAACTGAATCCAAGTAATATCCACCACAATGAATAACAATGGCATGCTCTTTTTAATTTTCATCTGTCACCTAAATGTTAAGCCGTAGCCAATCCAAAAGGACACTTCGTAAATGAACTACAATTGACAAGCCAAGAATCTTTTATTGGTTAACATTACCTGCTTAGCAATAAAATTCTTGACATCTTCTTCGGTCAATGAACTAGTGGGCGAACGAACAACATATGCAATTGGGACCTCACCAGCTTCAGCATCTGGGAATCTACATGGGTGGAAATACTTCAAAATTAAAATAACGTATTTACAGAAAAGGAATTGACATTGAAACATTCCCTGAGAATAGTGCAAGTAAGTTGGTGCATATTTCAAGTGTAATACTTACGGAATGACAACAGCATCTAATATCTCAGGGTGAGAAACAAGCAGCCCTTCAAGCTCTGCTGGTGCAACCTATTTTAGATCAGTGAAGCAAAAGAAAAGACGTTTTAGTAGAATAATGAGCACTACAAATCACTATCAATAGACAAAATACTACAGAGCACACATCATTATTAGAATCCAAGTCAACACTATTTATGTACAGAGTTGGAATCCAAATAATAAGCAACAAACACAGCAATATACCTGCAATGGCCAACTCAAAGTTACAATCTAAATACAGAGGAAAAATAACTAAGAATATATCAAAAGCTAGTCATAAAATTGAGTCTGTTGTTCTAAGTGAAGAATAGTTTGCATCAAATCACCATTACCAAAATGAACATACCTGAAAACCTTTGTACTTTATGAGCTCTTTAATTCGGTCAACGACAAATAGCTGTCCATCCCCATCAAAATATCCAAGATCTCCTGTATGTACCCAACCCTGTTTATCTATGGTCAGCATTGTGGCCTGCTTATTGTTGTAATAACCTGAAATGAATTTTTTAATTGAACAGTCATGCATAATTTAATTGAAAACAAAACAAAAGAATACACAGAATGTAATATGAGTGCAAGAACTTACATGCATTTTGGAGAAATAACCTCATAACTACATGTGATTCATTGGGCAATGAACAATCTCGTTATTAACCAACAATATGAAATTACAATGGCCTTAACCTAAAATGAAAAAGGTCTTTGAGAACCTTATCCACTTGTATACATTGGGCAAAAACTTAACTCTCTTTACCCCAAGGATTGTTGAAATAATCTGGATGGAGAGCTGCTTAAGAATATCTTATGCATAAAAATTTTCAATGATAACTTTGACACTGAATCTAGAAAAGCTATAAGCAAATTAGTCTTCAGTTAGGAGGAGAGATGGTAATTTCTGAGGTTGATCCAGCTATATTAGACAGGAGTGCAAATATATCTCAGGAATTGCATGAACTGCATTTATACTTAACTAGAATTCACTTGGCTATCAGATATTCTCCAAAATTACATATATTCAATCTTTTGATTATAAATTTCGGCAATAAATTGATATTAATGCTCCAGAAGCCCATATGTAGAGAGTAAAACTGAACTGAAGCAGTTAACATAATCTCTACCTTGCATCATATTAGGTCCTCGAACCCATATCTCCCCCAAATGATTACCCAAATGATTAGGAGGAAGAGGTTTCAGAGTATCTACACTGACAATTTGAGCCTCAACTCCAGCAACAAGTTGTCCAGCTGAACCACTGTGCCGAACTCCTCCCCTTTGATTCTCCACTGAAACGATGCCACAAGTTTCAGTCATACCATAACCCTGAAACCATAGAGAGTTTCCTAATCAGTGATAACTATTCCACGCCAAGCCCCCCTTTAGGACTTGAATAGAATGAACTGAAACATCTTTCAATTTTTTGTTTGACGCAGCAGACAGAAACGTCAAACCAATCCACACCCTGAATACTGTAACTAATCTTTTACCTAATTAAAGTAATACAAACCTAAACCATTCATTCAATATACTGTAGAAATTATTAATAACATTTCTTCTGTATAAACATTCTGTCAATGGTTGAGTACACAATTCACAATACTAATGCTCATCAAAGTACCTGTATAACTAAAGCCTGAGGAAAATTCTTCGCACATTCCTCCATCAATTCCTTTCCTAAAGGAGCAGCTCCACAACCAATTTGCTTCAAAGACGAAAGGTCAAATTTCTTAACCATACTCTGCTTTGCCAAAGCAAGCACAATTGGAGGCACAATCCACATATGAGTCACTCTATACTTCTCAATAGTCCTCAAAAGCATCACAAAATCAAACTTCCCCATTGACACTAGAGTATTGCCCCTCTGCAACTGCGCGTACGAAATAACCGAAAGCCCAAACACATGAAACATTGGCAACACACAGAGAAACACATTATCTGTTTCACCAGCTAGATCCTGATCCATGCATATCATCAAAGATGCTGCAATAAAATTTCTATGAGTCAAAATGACTCCTTTGCTTGTGCCAGTTGTACCTGAAGAATACAACAAAGTAGCAATATCCGCCTGCTTAATTGAAACATCCGGAAATTCTAATACATTCCCAGATAATTCAACCAATTCATGAAAAGTAACAATCTTTGAATTTGAAGATAACTTATCTTTTGAACCCAAAATCACAGCTGGCAAGTTAAAATCTTTAACTTTGTCCCATAACTCAGGGACTGTGACAAGAAGCTTTGGTTTTGAATCTTTAATTTGCTTTGAGAGTTCACCCACAGTGTAAATAGGATTGACAGTAGTTGCAATGCCCCCTATAGCAATAACACCAAGAAAACAAAGAGGATATTGTATAGAATTAGGAGCAAAAATCAAAACGACATCGCTTTTCTTGATACCCAAATGGCGAAAGCCGTGAGAGACCTTGATCAAGGTGGACTTGAACTGGGAGAAAGTTAAAGATTGAGCAGAATCAGCATCAATAAGGGCTAGTTTGGATTCATAAGACGAAGAATTCCTGAAAAGGAAATTAACCATAGAAAGATTAGGATCTTTGGGAAGGACCAAAGGTGGTCTCAAAGACCTGTATATACCATCACGGCCATAACCAGATTTCTCCATTCAAGCGAAAATGAAAATAAAAAATGAGAATTTGTTTGACTTTTAGTGAACCGAGACGAGTTTTTTTGAGGAGGAGATAGAAATGAAGATAAATTCAAGATAAGGTTATGATTTTTGTCTTCTTGTTGTGTTAATGGAGATTGGAGAGTCGTGTAGGAACTGTTAAGCCTCGAAGGAGAAAAATGATAGTAATATGCGAGTGTTGAAGATGAGTGGAACGGCTGGATTTGGTGATGTGATTTGGATTGACGATTTCAGAAGTGGGATTTTCCTTTAGTCTCGTCAATAATGCCACGGACGTTGGAATTCAACACCGAAATCCAACACGGCTTACGTGTCTCGTGACAGTCACATCAGACACGCCTCACGTTCAAATTTTTTTTGAGCGAATAGTCATTCATAAAGCATAGACGATCATTCACTTATATAGACTCGTCAATATTATATAGATAAGAGTCTATTTATTATAGATAGATATTACCATTTAAACAACATTTCGTTCATCAATAAATTGAGAAAAAATTATAAATAAAAATTAGGGATAATTGTTCATAAGTTATGGACAATCGTCCTTAAAGATTGGACGGATGTTCATATGTTAATAGACGCTTATCCATTAACAACCATTTTTAAAATTAAAAAATATTTAGGGATGATCGTTCATTAGTTATGAATGACGCCTGCAAATAAGGGATATGGGTCAATAATGTAAATATAAAAATAAAATAAGAAACTTTGGATGCCTGTCGACAATGTTCCCATAACAACTTCAAGTCGACTCCTCAATTTATCAACAGCGGCATTTTTTCTTCAAGCTGATATTTAGCCTCTAAGAGTTTCATTTGAGCTCTCTCTTCACGCAATACATCAGCTAACTGCATCATTTCCCTTTCCTTCTCAACCTCTTCACGAACTATAGCAGATTCTATCTTAAGTTCTTCCACTTCAGCTTGATCATCAATGTCTCTGGCTAACTCGTCACATACTTGTTCAATAACCACTCTCGCTCTCTTCTCATTCTCAAGTTCTTTCACTGCCTTAAGAAATGATGCTTTAGTCTCAGCAAGCTCTTTGCCAAGCTTCTTGTTCAAGCTTTCAAACCGTCTCCTCAACTTCTTCCTTTCTACCCCAAGTTCCCCTGCAATTGACTCAATAGTAGCCTCAACCACTTCCTGCTTCTTGTTTTTCCATGCCGCCTTTTCTTCAGCAAAACACTTCATTAGATAGTTAATCTCATTCTGGTTCAAGCGCTGTTATCCAAGAACAGCGCTTGGACCACTACCAGCCACACGGGACGACTACCCATGTAAACACCCATGTAAACAATAACTCCGAAAGTCCAACCGGAAAACTCCCAGCTGCCAAGTAAGACTAGAATAAACTTTATCATATATGTTGATGAAACAGTGCAGTGAAGGGAAGGGAATATGTGGCAACATATGAAGACAAGGAGGACGATTGGATGTTAGTTGGAGATGTTCCTTGGCAGTAAGTTTTGAAAATTCTTGATATAAGAATGGAGACTCGACTTGTATTTTTATATTTCCAACATATCTTCTGCTCGTTTATGCTCTTCTGCTCGTTTATGCTCTTCTGCTTTGCTGCTTTTTTTATGTGTTGCGTTGTCTCAATCTTTATATATTCCCATTTTCAGACTTTCATATCCCTTTCAATTATCTTAAATTACTTCCTGTGATCGGCATCAAATCTTTTAAGATAAACCTATATAATTAAAAACTAGATTTGGACTACTTACAACCATGGAAGTGGTTGAGGCTGCCATTGAGTCCATGGCAGGGGAACTTGAGGTAGAAAGGAATTTGAGGAGACGGTTTGAAAGCTTGAACACGAAGCTTGGCAAAGAGCTAGCTGAGACTAAAGCATCATTTCTTAAGGCAGTGAAAGAACTTGAGAATGAGAAGAGAGCGAGAGTGGTTATTGAACAAGTATGTGACGAGTTAGCCAGAGACATTGATGATCAAGCTGAAGTGGAAGAACTTAAGAGAGAATCTGTTGTAGTTCGTGAAGAGGTTGAGAAGGAAAGGGAAATGATGCAGTTAGCTGATGTATTGCGTGAAGAGATAGCTCAAATGAAACTCTTAGAGGCTAAATATCAGCTTGAAGAAAAAAATGCCGCTGTTGATAAATTTGTAAACTTAAAAGCAAACTCATCATAAGCAAAGAATCAATAATCAATTCATGTTTCTATGCCCTAAGTTGCACAAATATAAAGTTACAGGATCTTGAAACTTGATGAACTTTCACATATATATATAAAAGAAATACATACCTGATTCCATAGTATGAAAATTAAAACTTGAATCTTGATTGAATCAAAAATAGGCAGCGTTTCTCTCCCTTTCTTCTCTTCTGTAATTGCAAACTCTCTTGTTGGACAGATAAAATTTTTTGGTGTATTTAAGAATAGAGAGAGGGCTCACATTTTATATTGCAGTTATTTAATTAACTGCAAACACCACACCTTTCCATCAAAGGCTAAAGACCAATATGCCCTTCTATTAAATTAATTATTACTAAACCTTATATTATATTTAATTCATATGGACCATTTTATAAGAATTATAAATAATTCTAATATTCTCCCACTTGGTCCATGTGTCATAAAAATGAAACTTTACAGCTTAGTAATTAAACATAATGTGTACACAATAATAATTAATTAAAGGTCATATCTTAAATGGTCAAGATATAAACATTATAGAGTAGGAATCTATAAGGATCATGGCGGTCATATGTTATTAAATCAACATATTCCCTTCCATGTATCACTTTACAAATTCTATACTCAGAACAATCTATAATAATTCTTAATGCTCCAACAATAACGCCCTTATCAAGGACAAATTCTGTCATCTTTATCATTCATGTATGCAAAATAACATAATATAAAGAAACATACAACAGAATAACTTATATCAATCAGAAACAATACATCAAGAGCTCAGAGTGACTAAACATAAAGAACTTTATGTACATAAAAAAAACATAATGTCAAGGAACATATACAATACATTAAAAATCAATCATGACGGGCAATAATACCCATCCTTTCAACGTGCTCACTAAAGGTCTTAGGTGATAGCCCTTTAGTCAGCGGATTCGCTATCATAAAATTGGTGCTAATATGCTCAATAGTCACTCTTTGTTTCTGAACCTCTTCTTTAACGGCAAAGTATTTTAATTCCATATGTTTAGCAACTTTAGAATATTTGTCGTTTTTAGAAAAGAAGATTGCTCAGCATTATCACAATAAATTTTCAGCGGCTTGGCAATACTATCGACAATCCCAAGTCCTGAAATAAAATTCTGTAGCCATAATCCCTGAAATGTGGCCTCAAAGCATGCTACAAACTCAGCCTCTATAGTGAAAGCAGCAATGACAGACTACTTCGCACTTTTCCATGAAACTGCTCCTCCAGCTAACATAAATACGTAGCCAAAAGTGGATTTCCTGGTGTCAAAACAACCAGCGAAATCTGAATCTGAATATCCAACTACCTCAAGGTAATCGGATCTCTTATAGGTAAGCATATGATCTTTCGTCCCTTGTAAATATCTTAACACTTTCTTTGCAGCTTGCCAATGATCCATTCCAGGGTTACTTTGATATCTACCCAGCAAACCGACCGCAAAACTAATGTCTGTCCTAGCACATGTCTGAGCATACATTAAACTTCCGACAACTGATGCATAAGGAATATGCTCCATTTACTTACATTCCAATTCAATTTGTGGGCATTGCTTAAGGCTCAACTTGTCACCTTTTTGAATTGGAACTGGACTCGCAGAGCACTTATCCATTTTGTATCTCCCCAGAACTTTGTTGATATAAGCTTTTTGAGACAATCCCAACAATCCTTGTGATCTATCACGGATAATTTCAATTCCAATAACATAGGATGCCTCGCCCATATCCTTCATCTCAAAGTTCTTAGAGAGAAACTTCTTGGTTTCATACATCATGCCAAGATTATTAGTAGCAAGCAAAATGTCATCAACATACAGGACTAAAATTACAAATGCACTCCCACTGACCTTTAGATATATACACCGATCAACAGTGTTTTCTTTAAATTCAAAAGTAGTAATGGTATCATTGAACTTGAGGTACAGTGTTTTCTTTAAATCCGAAAGTAGTAATGGTATCATTGAACTTGAGGTACCACTGTCTGGAAGCTTGTTTTAATCCGTATATAGATTTCTTTAATTTACACACCATGTGTTCCTTCCCTTCAATTGGAAAACCATCAGGTTGTTCCATGTATACTTCTTCTTCTAAATCCCCATTCAGAAAAGACAGTTTTCACATCCATTTGATGAAGCTTTAGATCATAATGAGCTACCATTGCCATAATAATTCTAAACGAGTCCTTTGAGGAAACTGGCGAAAAAGTCTCGATGTAATCAACACCGTCTTTCTGAGTAAAACTTTTGGCAACAAGTCTGGCCTTGTACCGTTCAATATTGCCATTAGAATCGTCTTAAAGACCCATTTGCACCCGACTTTTCTACAACCTTTAGGCAATACTACTAGATCCCAGACTTCATTATATTCCATTGATTTTAACTTTTCCTTCATGGCGTCTAACCATTTTACAGAATTATCACTTTTACGGGCTTGTGAAAACGAAACTGGACTGCTTCCATTCCTAAGTCAATTTCAAACTCTTGTAGATAAACCATATAATCATTAGAAATGGCAGATCTCCTTTGTCTTTGAGATCTTCTTAATGCTATTTCTTGTGGTTCATTTACTACTTCATGTGGCTCACCAACCACAGGTTCATTGATTACTAAATTATCAGGTAGTGTTTGCTCAATTGCTTGTCTTTCCTGATTGTTATTAGAACGTTTGACAACTATAGGAACCACAACCTCTGTAGAAGTCATAGGCGCAGAGACCTGTACCTTGACTTCTTGAATATCCACTTTACGTGGTTCAACACTCCCACTGGTTTCACCATTCTCAATAAACCTTGCATTTCCAGTCTCAACTATTCTCGTACTATGGCTATGATAGTAAAAACGATACCCTTTAGATTTTTCTAGATAACCAATGAAAAAACCACTGGTCGTTCTTGAGTCCAGTTTCTTTTCATGTGGATTATAAATCTTGACTTCTGCTGGGCAACCCCAAATATGCTGGTGCCTCAAACTAGGTTTCCTTTCTGTCTATAGTTCAAAAGGAGTCTTTGGAACTGCCTTACTAGGAACCTTATTTAATAAATATACAGCAGTCTTTAATGCATATATCCACAATGATGAGGGTAATGAGGAATGACTTAACATACTCCTAACCATATCCATTAATGTTCGGTTACGCCTTTCTGCAACACCATTCTGTTGCGGTATTCCCGGCATTGTGTATTAGGCACATATGCCTCGACTTTCCAGGAATTTAGCAAATGGACCTGGACATTGTCCAGATTCATTGTATTTACCATAATATTCACCACCTGTATCTGATCGTACTACTTTCACCTTTCTATCTAATTGCCTCTCAACTTCATTAATGAATACCTCTAGGATATTAACAGATTGAGATTTTTCATGCAATAAATAGATATATCCATAACGTGAAAAATCATCTATAAAAGTGATGAAATATCTTTCTCCACTAAAAGAAGGTACATCAAAAGGACCACATATATTGGTGTGTAATAATTCAAGGAGTTCTGTGCTTCTTGTGGCTACTTTCTTAATTATGGATATGGTTTGTTTTCCTTTGATACAATCCACACAGACGCCAAGATCAGTAAAGTCCAAATCAGGTAAAACTTCATCATTTACTAATCTTTGCATTTTTTCTCTTGATATATGGCCTAAACGCTTATGCCATAAATAAGCAGATTTCTCATCCACAGAAGCACGTTTTGCTCCTATACTATGATGCAGGGTCAATAATGTCTCAACAAACAAATTATCAAGATGTAATTTGTACAATCCATCACAAAGCATACCAGAACCAATTAAACAATTATATTTAAATAAACTGAAACATCCATTCCCGAACTTAAAAGAATAATATCCTTCTAAATCAAGTTTAGATAAAGATATCAAATTACGGGATAACTCCGGTACATAAAGAGTATTAAAAAAATCTAAATGATGTCCAGTATTTAAAATTAAACGATAGGTTCCAATGGCTTTAACTTGTGCTTTGACTCGATTCCCCATGTACACAAATCTTTCATTGTCGTTTATGATCTGGGTCATAAGGAATCCCTGCAAAGTATTAGAGATATGAGTGGTACATCCAGAATCAATCCACCAAGTATTATAAAGAACTTCCGATAAATATGATTTAAAACATACAAAAGCACTAGGCTTACCTTTCTTTTCGAACGATGCCTTACGTTTCAGGCATTCCCTCATAGAGTGTCCAACTTTCTTACAGAAATGACACTTTTCTTTAGTCTTATCCTTCTTATGGACTTGGGTAGAAGACTCGTTAATCTTCAGTGGCCTTTTGCCCTTTCCATACTTCTTGTTGGATTTGTTCTTAACTTCAAATGAGCCCACAAGATTAACAAAATGAACTCCTTGTTTCTTCAATCTTTTCTCCTCTTGAACTAACTTAGTTTGAAGCTTAGTCATATTCCATTTATCTTTAATTGTTTTATAATTAATTTGAAATGGACTAAACTGAGGAGGTAAAGAGTTAATGACAAACTGAACAAGGAAACTTTCGTCCACAGACATTCCCATGTTTCTAATTCTTGCTGCTATATTTGAGATCTCAGTCACATGTTCATACATGCTACGAGAACCATCATATTTCATAGTGGTCAGCCTACTCATTAATGCCCCTGTGCGGGACTTGTTAGCGGCTTCAAATTGAGAAGTCTCTTTGGCTAATCTCATAAATTCCTTAGCATATTCTGTGGTAGGAAGTGAGGTCTTGATTTCACTCACCACTGTCATCCGTAAATATTTCAGGCTCAATCTATTTAATCTCTCCCATTCCTTATGGAAAGACCTTTCTTCATCAGTACTGTTTTCAGTGAGATCAGCTGGTTTCTCTGTCATGAGTGCAAGGTCGAGATTTTGAACACCCAAGTAGTACTCGACTTGTTCACTCCATTCATTATAATTGAACCCATTAAACTTAATAACAGATGAGGCGTGAAGAGCAAATGCTGCAAAAACAAAAATTATGCTTACACATTAATGCTTTGAGTTTTATACCTTATAAATAATTTTAGATTCAGATATTAAAATTTATTATCATTAAAACATAAATATGTATTGAAAATCTCCTTTGGGAGAAATAACAATATAGGATAATTAAACTTAATTGATACAATCTTTTATAAGTTTTCTTAATTGGTAATTAAATGTACTTTAGTTAGACATATTTGTTATCTTTGGATATACTAAACACACCTAATCAAGTACATTAATTAACCACGATTATGTTCATAATTATAGGATTAACTAATCTACCTTTGGGCGATCCTTAATTATCCTATAACATATAAACTTCAAATTACTTATGTCCAATACATTATGTCATCTCATTAAAGCATCTAATGATCATGAGTAATTGAATCTTATTTAGTTTGATATCTATGGGATAAACATTTTAATTTGACCACTTTGGTGACTAACAAATTATACATAATATAGTTATCAAACTTAAATAACAACTATAAGGTTGTCATACTTATCTTTCTCTAAAGAAACTTATACTTTAGAAACTTATATACATTTCACGTACCTAAACACACATTAAGGACAAAATTGGGTTGATTCGACCCTCATTGTTAATTTTGATTGTCACCGTTAACTTTGACAGTTGACCGTTAACTTTAACCGTTAATTTTAACTGTGGATCGTTAGATTTAACGATTGACTATTAACTTTAACCGTTAATTTTAACGGTGGACCGTTAGATTTAACGGTTAATTGTTAACTTTAACCGTTAATTTTAACGGTGAACCATTAGATTTAACGGTTGACCGTTAACTTTAACCATTGACCGGTTCAGTCAACGGTCTGAACTGGAACCGGTTTAATCCGCTGACCGGTTCGGATCACCTTCTCGGATCCTAACCGGGTTAGTTTGACCCCTTTTTTGGTTCGGGTCAGCCCATTTAAACCTATTTGGGTTGACCCGTTTGACAAAAAAAGATTGGCCTTCTTTATGGGTTATAGGCTTGAGCTTCTTTATAGGTTATTCTTAATGGATTTGAAAATTGGGCTCACATAATAAGGCTTTTATGATTGGGTTGGGTCAATATTTCATGGGTCAATGATTGACCCCGAATTTCTGGAAAAATGAGGTAAATCTCATATTCCGAATTTCTGGAAATTTTTTTGTTTTTTATTGAAAAAAGTTTCTGGATTCTGAAAATTTGCACTTCAGAATAATTTTACAGCCTTCCAATTTGTTAATTTCTAAACCCAAACTACTTTCTTAAATCTATTTTACCTAAACCATTCCTATTTCACAATTTCCAAAAACCCAATTAATTTCTACACCCCATAAGAACCCTAAAAATAACTTAATGGAAAATTCATCAGTCTCTAAACCTGAAATTCCTCTGATACCACATGTAAACTTAAAAGTAAACTCATCATAAGCAAAGAATCAATAATCAATTCATGTTTCTATGCCCTAAGTTGCACAAATATAAAGTTATAGGATCTTGAAACTTGATGAACTTTCACATATATATAAAAGAAATACATACCTGATTCCATAG